GGGGGGGAGGGGAGTTGGTGGGAATTTCACAAAGAAAAAGCAGTGCTGTTTTCTCCCAACAATCTTATTATAGGATGAAGTGCATTATTTATTTTCTTTGTTTGTTTTTTTTTTTTGTTTTGTTTTGTTTTTAGAAAACGTCTTCAAGTTGCACAACATCCTGCACAGCTTCTTATTCCCATTTCCCATTTGACGATGGACCCAATGTTCATTTTCTCCTTCTTTTGGCAACTTTAACCAGGCGTGTGCCACAATGACGTATGAATGAGTGAATGGATAGATGGAGACACTCTGAGGATGTCACTCTCAGGATGTCCATGTTCATTGTCTCTCAGTGGGACATTATTATGATCTGGTTCTAATGTGGTAAAATCCCATGATTGTCTTCACAGTGTCAAAATGCAACCAGGGTAGGCGGGCTCGGTCAGGTCAGTCTGTTAGAAAGGGTGGCGGTGGTGGTGGTGGTGGTGGTGGTGGTGGTGGTCGTAGTAGGTTTGGAACAGCAGTGTGTGTTTGTTTGTGTCTGTCCAGTCACTTAAGTCCATTTTCCACGTGTCCACCAAGATGATTTTAGGCTTCAATGGGGCTGGATACCATGCTGTTTGGCGTGTCTGGAAGCTGCGACGACATGGACGCAACCTCGCTGCCTGTCGAGTTTGAACCCGGTCCACCCTCTGAGAAACTGACCTGTGAGACATATGATGTTGTCAGAAACAAAAATGTTTGACACAAAGTGTTCATCCTGTCCAGTACTGTCAGAGACTCTATCTGTGGGACTTCCGCCTGTATGTTTTCTTATGAAAAATGGTAGAAGAAGCATCAAGTTCTAAAACTACATTGCAGATATGTAGTTAAAGTAAGTAAAGGACTTTAAATCAATCATTTTGAAATGCAATATCTCTCTGTTACTGTCCTGCTAAAAGTTGCTGCTGTGGAAGAGGACCAAGATTCAGTTACTGTTAAGAGGATTTTTTTTTGTCTTCACTTTGGTTTGCAAAAAAAAAAAAACAAGGACACATTTTTACTCATTCATCATTGTATATAAGGAAACTGTAAGGTTAATGTTGTCCCTTTGTCGTTGTCAGCTGGTTTGAATTTAAATAATTAGGATATTAAGATTAGGAACTTGATTGTCCGTGTTTGTTCTATCTATTTATCTTGGAAACAGTTGCATTAAATTTATCACTTACAAATTTACCTCAGTTTGCATTTTATCAAAAAAAAAAAGCAGCACATGTTCAAAATACGTCAAAAATGTTATCATACACAGAACAGAACAGCTCTTATCCAGAAGAGGAAGAACTAAAGGGCGTAAAGGTGGTCACCCAGACTTTCTCTACGTGCCCCCTGCCTGAGCCCCCGACCCACACACCTGCAGCACATGCTGATCTTGTATTATTGATGAACATATTACAATAAAGAAAATACAAGAGGGCTATCAATATATAATAGATCCTAATGTAAAACCTATGGTCTATGGTCTATGTCCAAAAATGGAAAGTCTCATGTTCTGATTCCTCTGCAGTTCCTGGTAACTCTTTATTTTTCCTTCTTCTGTTCCATTCACTGTCACTGTGTTTGACTCTATTGTTCTCCATAATTTCTCCTTTGACTGCAATTTGAATGAGACTCTGGGTTTAAACAAGAAGAAAAGACGACAGGAAAGGGGGAGACATGTTTATATTTGCAGATATTATGAAGTTGGTTTGAAATTGTTTTTTTAATAAAATTATTTAGTTTTAACTATAATGTATGCAGACACAGCTCGTGTTTATTGAGTCCCTTTGTTCATTTGGTTGAAGAACGGCGCCAAGCTTGACGTTTGCCATAATTTGTGTATCTTGAACTAAATAAATAAATAAGAGTAATAAACAAATATTTAGCCTTACATAGAATATGTAAGGTTCGCTCCCAGCGGATTATAATCCAGTCCAGCAGCACCAGTCCTGTCGGACGTTTATGAAGAGGAACCGTCAAAAACAATGAATCCATCATGTTCATCATGGACATCAGCGCCGTCTTTTGACTGATGCAGTGAATATGTATTTTTGGATTATTTTTTCATACATTATCACTGCTTACAAACCTCAGCATCACTTAATCCACGCATTATTCGTTGGAGTGAGCACGCAGCCAACAAACGGTTGTCTTGAAATCGCCAACGTTATTAACATAACTCTATCTTACATCGATATGTCCGTAAGTATTCGTCTTAATTATTGTCGTATTTATATATATATATATATTTAACTCTAAGTCCGGCTGTAGTGATACAGTCCAACAAATACCCCAAATAATGGCAGTAATCTGTGTATAATGTGCTGGCGGAGCACGACTGTGAAGCGTCACTTCAAAATATAGCCCACAAACCCAGCCCGTGGCGTCCACAATAAAAGCGCCCAACAACCGTGTTGTTGTCTCTTTTTAGTCAGAGTTCTGTGGAGATCATGGAACTGTCCCTCTGTCTCACACCATGGATTCAACAGAAACCAGTCAAGCAGCAGCAGCATTAGAACAAGGTCGACCAGATGTCACGAGTGGAACCACAGCATTGTTCATCATCTGTAGCTGTACTAGTCTATCTTTAAATAAAATAACGCTTTTAATATCGATTAATGCTGCGGCCATGCCGACTGACAAGGTGGAGATGCTGTACAATCTGTAGCAATTCCAACTGAATCTTTTTTTTTTTAAATACATAAGAACATCCATCCATCGGTAAATGTACATAATAAACTATATCATCATGCAGTCAATTTATATATAATGATTCGGATGATGTTGCGCAGAGATGTGTGTGAAACGGATGTGAATTGAAAATCTAATTATTTTTGCTCATAATAAATTGTATTTCAAGTGTGAAGATCAACAGTAAATAAGAGGAGAAGCAGACGCACCAGCTGCTGGAAGGCCGGCTGGTCGATGTCACTCTGCAGGGCGAAGTCGCTGAGGACCTTCCACGGCGCCTGGTAGCTCTGCACCTCCACGGGGTTGGCCTGGATGCCGCCGTCGTGCCGCTCCGGACTGGCTGCCACCATCGGAGTGCCCGTCATTCCCTGGATGTTCTGCAGGAGAAAAACACAAAATGCAATGGTTTTAGTCCAAACAAGAAAAAACAAACAAACGTGTAAACACACAAACAACAACATTAATTAAAAGAGGAACAGGGTAATTGTTTTGTGTGCGCCTGCGCTTCTCGGTTTTCTTATCGGGTGTAAATATTGATCTTTCCAGAACTCAAACTGTGAACTAAATTATCGGTTTTTGAGATGATCAGCAGAAACGGTTTGGTTTCAATTCACTTAATTTAATTGGAATAGGCAGATTTTCAGAAACCAAAGTTTTCTCCGGGGGTACAATCTGTAGACGCCTGTTCCCAAACCTTCAACTCAACAACAATAATCGATAACTAAACAACAACATAAAATGCCTAATAGAGAATCTTGCAAAATAAATGTCAAATATGTAAATCATGCAAATAATATCTACATTGTCGTCAACAATGTAGGAAAATGTCTGTTAGGAAAAGACTCAGAAAGGGCAGCCAAATGTCTGTGAGGGGAAATGAACTAGTGAGGAAGTAGATTAGGGATAGAGAGAGAGGGAGTAAATAGGGACAAAGAAAAAGGGGCAGAAAGATGGTGAAGACACAGGTGACACCGACCAGGGGCAGATATGAGGCAGGGGCAGTTTAAATGATGTAATAGAGAAGTATTCTAGTACACAAATATGCAGTAATGTAATTGAAGCAGTTTTAATTGGTTTATATGTATGTATATAAAACAACTTTTTTTTTGTTCAAATAAAAACTCTCCCTTTTTCTCTGTGTCAGGCAGAGGCAGAGAACTGAATTCCCACAGAGAACAATCAATAAATACAAAAACAAACAAACAACAGAAATAAACACCGAAACAGACCTGTGTAAGTGTGTGTGTGAGACAGAGCCGCTTTATTAAAAATATTTTGTTTTTTTGTGTGCTTTCTTTGAGAATTCCTTCAAACCATTCGGCAGCACTTGTTAATAAATCTTGTCCTTCTATTCTGTAAAAATATTTCAATCACTTAAGCATTGTTGTCATCTCTTTGAATTTATTTTTTTAACTATTTGATATTTTCTTCTGTGGCACTTTGGCCCAGAGGGCAATGTCTCTGTCATTGGTGTGGAACCCCAGGGTTCACCTCCTGGGCAAGTTTGAATCCCGGTTAGGGCGGTTGGTACCTTCCAGTGGACTCACCACCTGCAGGAAGGTTTGGGGGGTTGGTACGGAGCAGTGTGATTTGGGTGGCGACTGCTGCCCCCGCGACCCGGTAACGGATAAGCGGATGAAAATGGATGGATGGATATTTTCTTCTAGTCTTGTAAATCACTCCTGATAAGCATTTCTATTGGTCAATTCAGTTAATTGCAGTCCCACAATAAAAGAATTTTTTTTGTCAAGATCATGGAATAATTTTCCTTTGTTATTTGACTCAGATGTTGCATTCTCTCAGCCACACGCCTGGAGAAATTACTACACATTCTAATATACATTAATGTATACATTAATACACTTGATGTATTTGTTTATTTTTATTTTGGGGGGGGAGGGGCATGACTTGGTGGGAAATTATCTGCATGCCAGATTGGTTTAAAAGCAACCACCCTATCTTTTAACCAATGGCACATATTGTGTATAATGTAATAATAAAAAGATGAATATAAAATATTTTAATGACCACATGTCAACGTGCCATGGAACCCAAATGACCCCGACCCTTATATTGAGAACCACAAGGCCGTTTTCTTCTTACCGTTTTGTCGCTCGTCTGCTGGGACTGCAGCTGCTTCATCAACTGGCTCCTCTTCTTGTCCTTGCAGCGCTTGTTCTGGAACCAGACCCGGATGACCCGCGGGCTGAGGCCGGTCATCTCCACCAACTGCTCCTTCATGAGTGCGTCGGGGCGCGGGTTGGCGTTGTAGCATGTCCGCAGCGTGTGCAGCTGCTTTTCATTCAGAACTGTTCGAACTCTGGTGGTCTTCTCCGGCTGTTTGTGGACGTGAGGCCGCAGTGCAGGCTGACGGGCCGAGATTGGTTCTGCTGTGGATAAAGTACAGAGGGTGAGGGTAGAGGGGGTGGACGTCAGGGTGGGGAGCCGAGAGACAAAATCAGATGAACTGTCGGAAGATACGGGGCATTTTATGTTACGATTAAAAAGCGTGGTGTATGTTGAAAGTAAAGGCCTTTTCAGCAGTGTTTTAGGGATGATGCACCAGCAGCGTGTATGTCTGTGACTCTGTGTGTGGGCAGTGCAAGGGCAAACATTATCATCAAATTCATATTCATTATTTATAACGGTTATATTGCCTTTTGCCCTTATTTACGATTAGCGGCAATACGTCACAACGCCGTTATTTCAAATGATATTTAAAATCAATCCATGATTACTGCTCATGTTGTCGTCCAGAGCCATGTTAAAAAACACTGGATTCAAAAAATTAAAAACTGTGATGTGCAGACGAATGATGTCTGTATCTCACAATGCACAACAAACATGCAGGAATTACAGCTTCAATGCTATTTTTTATAGGTTTCCAATTTAAAATAAAAGCTGGTGACAACATGTAATAAGCAGAAGACAATAATTATAATGAGGTCAAAAAGAGGAGTGTTCGATCTGATGTTGACACCAGATCACCTCTCATGCTCTCCAGGGTTAACAATAAGATGCCCACAGTATCCATAAGCCTGGACTAGCAGGTGGTAAAGTACCTGTGAATACACGTTGCCTCAGCTTTTACTGCATGTCGTCTGTGGGGCCTTAAAGTGGGAGGACACGCTTCAAGTCTGATTGACTCATCTCATCCCAAATTAACAAGCTGTTCTGGAGAAAAAGACATGACAGCAGTCCTTCAACCCCACACACGGCTCTTTTTTTTACCCCTGCTGCTGTGATAACCCGGTGTATTTTTAATTATCTAATCTCCAGAGTCTGCTCTGTGGTATGCAGGAAAACAACAAAACGCACGAAGACTAAACAGAAACACTTTTTCCCGCACAGAGGAAATCACCAAAGCCGGTTCTCGTTGGGGCAAAAACCGCTGACATAAAAGCGTATTCGAACCTCAGACTCTGTTAGATTGTAGGTCGAACCAGAACAAGATCCACTTATTAATGCTGCAGCTACAAAACTTCAGATACAGCCTTTCTGTCCTCACTGCTCCGGGACTTTACCTGCCATTTGCAGCGGTCTGGCGGGATGGAGCGGACTCAGGGGGTCTCCGGCTCCGAGATTCGCCCGCTCCACCACATCGTGGTCCGCCCGGCAGAAGAGCCCGTCCTCCCGCAGCGCGAACTCATCTCCAGGAATGAGCTGACGGCTGCAGGCCACGCAGCGGAAACATTCGATGTGGTAAACCTTGGTGCGGGCCCGCATCACGAAGTCGTTCTTGCTGAAGCCGATGTTGCATTTGGCGCATTTAATACCGTATAACCTGCGCAAACACAAAGAGGGCACAGGGGCCATCAGTTCCGCACCACTTCTTTTTTATTATTATTATTATTATTATTATTATTATTATTATTATTATTATTATTATTATTATTATTATTATTATTATCGTTGTTGTTGTTATATCGCACAAAATGCTTCTATAACATATAAACAATATAATGGCATTCACATTATTCGCGAATGTATAACTTAACTATATCAATATTATTAATAATATTAATCACTACCAAAATTTAAAGAATATTTTCATCAACTTCTGGTGAGCGTGTTGTTATTTTACAGGACGTTCTACATTTATATTCTTGAGTTCCAGTCAATATCAATATCTTTCAAAATAATTGATCACACATCTACAATTTCATTTTTATTCATCCAATAGCCAGACTCATCAATCCTGCCTGTTTATTTTCCTTATTAAATGTGCGTTTTTTTTTTTTTAAATAGCTTGCTTAAGAATTCAGAACAATGATCGTGGGCTTTAACAAAAATAGTATTAATATTCGTTTTTGTTTTGAGGCTGAATTTGAGTGAATTTTGAATGCGTTCACGGTAGAAAGTTGCGGACGTTGTCCCTAAAGAGCCAAACAAAACTGTAGCACGGAGAGACTCAATTTCAACTGCAAATAAAAAGGTCAAATTAATCGAGATTATGATCCAGGCTCTGCGCATGTGGTCTCTGTGCGTCCTGCGGGGCTCCAGTCCTGGTCAGGGATGGGGTTTGGACTCCTACCTGATATAGTCCCGTTTACAGTAAGTCTTTCCGTCCCGCACAAAGCAAGTGCACGACTCGTCCAGGTATTGGCTGCACTCGGCGCACTTGAGACACGCAGCGTGCCATTCCAGGTCCGGAGAGACCCGAAGGATGTACTGGTCGTGGATCTGGTTCCCGCAGCCCACGCACAGAGAGACAAGCCGCTTCTCTGAAAAGAGCAGCAATGGTGAGGGTGAGGCATGGTGACACACTGGAGTGCAAGAGAGGATGAAATTATTATTATTATTATTATTATTATTATTTAATCTAAATTCTCCTAATATAACTGTTAAAGAAACTAATTTTTAAAGGCCGTTTAAATTTGCGGACAGATAAAGTCAGCTCCCAAGTTCTGATGAATTTAGTTCCAAAGTCGCATCTCAAACACCGTAGCAGTGTCTTACTTTTCGGCGGGTCCCCCATGTCTCCCATGTCCACAAAGTAAGGCGACGTTAGGTCCACTGTCACAGCGGGCAAAGACTGGAACTGTGGCCGGCTGGAGGATGCGTCTTCGGGTGGCTGCACTGCTGTCCGGCTGCACAGTGAAAGAGAGACAGGCGAGAGAGAGTGTGTGTCCGTGGCTGCGTGTGTACGCGTGGCGGGTGTGTGTGTGTTTAGAAGTTTCTCTGTGTGTGTTAGTTGCCCGTGTGTGTGGAGCTCTGATCCTGACAGGCGGCAGCGGGGCTGACGTAGGGTATCAGCGCTTCATCTGCATGAGCAGCTGATTGGCTGGTCGGACTGCTGAACACACACACACACACACACACTTTTGCATAGCTATTCTTTTAGGACATTGCATTGATTTCCATTCATTGACTTACATCCATTCGGTCATTCAATGTGCAACAAAGGCTGGAGCCTAACTTTAACCATGACCAGTTAATATCTTTCACTGACTTTAAAGATAGAGAATGCCACACACACCATAGAATCATTCATATTTAAATAAAAACTAGACGCATGTGTGTATGTTCATCTGCAGGAGTTTGCCCTCAGCTTGTATTTTCTTTTTCCCTTTTCCTAAATGCCCATTTTGTACCACAAAGCAATTTAAAGGATGCTAACATGATAAAAAATGTTAAATGTGTTTGTGCAGCAGGCTGGCATCAGGTCAAAGGAGTAGACAAAAAAAAACTAAAATAAATTCTCAAACATTGTCCTGTAGATCTCTATTTTAAGAATTATTTTATCCTAGAACACAGTTGTACAACATGAAAATGTGGAGTATGCAGCCAAAATAAGTCATTTTTGTTGTGGTTGAATGGTCATCTGTACCAGGAGAGTTCCAAAAAGAGTAACCAGGACATAACTCGTGCATATATATTGCAGTCCTCCATTTGACGACATTTGGTTTCCAATCGCTTACATCCCGTATCCAGAATACAATAAACCATCCAGTATCTAACACTGACTATATAACATGTCCTGAGAAAATGTAAGATGGTTTTATGTTCATTCGTGTTTCATGTTATCTTGGATGTAAATAATATTCCGGGTATGTGGAAATCAATGTGGGCCAGGTGATTATTTTGCTTATGGAGCTTTAACAATTACATAACAATCTTCCCACATCTTGACACCATTGAACCACAAGTTAGAATTTTGCTTTTGTCTCATATTGTACTGTCAGTTTGATCTATCTACAAAATAAGTAACACTAATTTGATAAGAAAACATGCACACTTTACACCCTCATAAAAAGACAATGCAAAATAAAATTGTTTAATTGTTGTTTAGTTGTTAATAATTGATATCATGTCACTGTTATGGAAAGCTAAAAAAAATAAGTACATAAAAAAAAGAAAACTGGATCACAGGAGAGTGGAGGAAATGACTTTAATTTCAGTCTCAACTATTATTAGTATAACGTTTCAGATGATCACCCAAACAACTGTTCACACTCACCTCAGCGTCACTTCAGAGGGAACGCTATTTAAAGATGAAGAAGGGAAAAATTCAGCACCATGGAAAGCGACGTACACAACGAACGGAGGCTGTCTGTTACACAGGGATTCAGGCGTGAGGGCCTGAGCAGCTGATTGAAGGGGGAGGGAGTCTTTATACCAGACCACGGTGGCAGGCCGCTGGTATTCTTAGTAACACGCCCTCTTGTGTTAGTAATCGAGCACGTACACGCAAACACACACGCGCGGCATCAGAAGGCACCGAATTGTGTAGCAAAGAACAAAATGAATAGAACAGATATATTGACATAAATTATCCCGAAATTTAAATAAAAAACCGTAATATAACAATATCACAAAATTACACAAAACAACATCAGATTACTTTTTTATGCACCAGTCATTACATTATAAAACAAATGTAGGAAAGGTTTTCTGTAGTTTTCCATATGAACATGATGTGTAAATATAATTATTTATTATTTAAAAGGATTAAATAAAAAATAAAAAAAATCAGTCAAACTGTGTTTAAAAAGTTTTGTTAGGCAACTGTACATGCATTTTCTAAAAGAAGACATTTCACCTATAGGTGAAATGTCTTCTTTTAGAAAATTCACATCCAGTTGCCTAACAGAACTTTTTGAACTTGACCATGACCTGGATGACTGAGAATCTTCATAGACAGTCAAACTGTGTATTGTCTGACTACTACAATTTGGAAAAAAAAACCTAGTGATCATCAATGGTCCGTTCCACTGGTAATTGGGGAAAATAAGTGGAAAAATAAACGTTCTAAAAAGTTTACTGTAGTAGTAGACCATGGCCTCCAGAGTAGAGCAATCCCTTGAACTTTATTGCATGGCAGTATGTTTTTGAACATTCTAGATATACTCTAACACACCTTACAAAATGAAAAAAAAAAACACACTGTGAAAATGAATCCATAATGGTCCACTGTTGTTTCCAAGTAACATTTGAACCATTTGATTCCCATTATAAAATAGGCAAATTAATTGTATTCAAATTATTTAAATTGATGTTTAATAACATTTAGTTAGGAAATGTGAGGAAAATATAAATCAGATTTCATAGTCAGTGGGCATAGTTGAACATTGTAATTCAACATTAACTTCCGGAGAAACATGTGCAGTTCAGTGAGGTTGATGGTTGTTCATAAGAAATGTGTGAAATGTCGGTCTCCACATATTTGTGAGAAATGTAAATCTCCCTGTATCTCTGTCCTTAACAAAGAAGATTATTATAATTTTATACTGACAGGAACACACAGAGAAAAACTGTTTGGGGACAAACAACATTAAATCTTTACATTCTTATGTGTATGCGTGCATGTGTGTATGTGTGTTGACATCTCAGCAGTGACTTCTTTTGGAAAGCAATGTCTTGATTATAGTTTTTGCATTTGGCAGTGAAAGAGTGGTGCTTCTGAAAGTGTTGAAATAGAAAATCACAGCTGATGCATTTGAAAGGCTGTGGGCTGACACGCCGTGTAATTTGTCACCCAGAGAAACCTCATTTTCCTCATCACGGAGGCTGCTGTCACAAGTTCACACACTTTAAGGAAGAAGCCGCGATGGAAACATTTCCACCCTGATCTTTTTCACCACTTACAAAACACATACGAGAACACTCACAGTTACTGTTGTGGGTTGTTTATTTATTTATTTGTGAACATTTGGGAAAGGAAGGTTCTAAAAGTCCATTCTGAGTGATAAAACTGATGCTTCCTGCAACTGAGGGTTTGCAGAGAGAAGACATGCATGAAAATGTATTTTATTAATTTGGTAGAGTAAAAGAGGTAAAGTTGTATGGACCTGAGCTCATGTGAGGACTCATGGATAATTTGAACCTTTTTACCTAAAGATAAAAATTACAAACAATTCTGTTATCAACTGGGAGGCTAAATCCAGCATCGCTATATGGGGCTTAGTATTGGAGGAGAAAAGGTATCGGATCGATATTGGTATTGTCAGAAACTCCAAGTTACAGTATTGGTATCGAACATGAAAAAGTTGTTATTGAGCCATCACAGAGTGTATGGTGTTGAATCAGAAGCAACCATTTAGAGCAGGGGTCTCAAGTTCTTGGCCTGGGGGT